CATGTCTTCTTCGGCCCTAGCATACTTCTCAATTCCGGTCAACTTTAGTCTTATCTTGTGTGTTTCCTTTTTATCTTCTGGGATCTGAGATCTGCTCATTGTGCTCTTCTCTTCTCGAACTCAGGTGCCGAGATCTTATTTTCTGGAATCTTGGATTTGCTCACTTAGGTTGAGCTCTCGTCTTCTCGGGCTTACTTGTCTAGGCTGAGATCATGTCTTCTCGGATCCGGGATCTAGGATCTGGAATCCGGGATCTGCTCACTCAGGATGAGTTCTTCTATACTAGAATGTTATCGCCTTGGGAGCGCTTATGCCCCCTGTCTTTGCATCCCTTCTGGAAGGGTCTTCGTTCCTCCGCAGGTATCTATTCTTCCATACCTGGAGGTTGTCTTCGTTGCTTCGATCTGTTGTCTTTGGTGCGTCACCTTCCTAGCCGGCTTCTTTCACTCCGTGACTCTGGTCACGAGTTTCTGTGTTGTGGTTGTCTCCTTCAACGTCAAGGTCAATTGGGCTGCCACTCCCAACAGGAGTGTCGCCCCCAATGTTTTCCCTCTGTCCGTTACTGGCCATCTATTCTCCTAAGTTCCCACAGACGGCGCCAAATTGTGTGGGTAATTTTCTGACCACACTGCCCGCTTAGTAACCAGCTGGAGAGCACCGGCAGAATAGATGGCACCTGACTGACCTGCAACAGAAAGAGAAGAATCCCGCAGTGGTTTCGACCACCCGGGGGCACTCCGACGATCAAGTCAGTATATCTCTCAAAGATAAATCAAGTATTAAACTTACAAGCTTGAGTATCAAAAACAAACCTTAGACCCATGGGGGTGCCTCTCTTTTATAGCCAATACAATCCTAGTCCCAATAGGAGCCTGGCCCTAACGGACTTAGGATTACTACTAATCTGGCTCTCAGTGGGATTAGGATAAACTCTCTAAGAGTCTTATTTTTACCCAAACCGAAGTCTTCTCCCAATCTAAGACTCTTGTCCATATCCGGGTTGAGTTCCCTTTTCATTCTAGGACTCTTGTCCCTTATCCACTTATCTCGGATTTCGATATCTTTGGAGAGAACCTCGGCCTTGCCGAGATCACCTCGACGTCACGGCCAGGACACGTGACACCTCGGCTGACACCTCGGCGTCACCTTACCACGTGTTGGTACTTAGAAAATATATCCCCACAGTTTCCTTATCATTCAAACCAAAAACAAGAAGATTAAGATTTATATAGATGGGGCTAAAGTGGTATTTGCAGAAAAAATAAAATGAGTCTAACAACCACCACTAGTCCAAACTTATTATATACAATCCTATAATGGTGGAAAAAATAAAGAAAATTTACACATCAATAGTATTTCCTTAAAATTATTACATATACATAAAAAAATTTATAATTTTAATTATTAATATTGATAAAATGTACCATTTATTTGTAATTATTTTAAAAATTACCACTGAACTGAAAGTTTTTTAAAAATAAACCACCACAAAAGTTTTGGGAATAGAATGGGATTTTCATCATCTCCTTTTCATAGTGAAATGAAAATCTCTGTTTCATTTTAGAAGATTGTAAAACAAATTCAAATTCAAAATCAACTGTTAGATAACTACAACATCAGCATTGCTTTGAAAACTTCATCATCTAATTTAAAAAAATAATATTTGTCAATGTCTATCTTTCATACTCACTAACCATGGAATTGATACTAAAAAATATAATTGTTTCGTTGAACTTGGCATCTTCACACACACACACACACACACACACAGAGTACCAACTTTAAGACATGTTTAAGAAATGTTTGATTAGTAAAATTAATAGTAAGATAATTAATAATTAATGAGATATCCAGTTGGATTAGTGATATAGATAATTTCCTTCTATCCAAGTTTGTTTTACAATAAATATACAAATATATAATTCTAATTATATATATGTTTTACATTATTAATTGAGAAATTAAAAAATTTGTCAATTTTATTAAATAAATTAGTCATTAAATCTAAACTAAGTAATAAAATTTACAGTCAAATGATAAAATATAAATTTCATAAATTAATAATTTCAATTCTATATTATATATAATTCACTCGATAAAAAATGGTCCCACTTTAAGTGACTTGATCACGTGAATGCATAGCATTCACCAATAGATGCACCTTTGTCCTGTCCTCTTGGCCATGTGATATGGGACCTAGGATAAGTAAATGCCTTCCATCATGAAATACTGAGTCACTAATTATTGTCCTCTTTGTTAAAATTTACCATCACCTACCACCACCTACTCCTCACCTACTCCTCACCTACTACACACTCACCCTCTCCTATATATAGGAATCAATGTAAACATATCAAAACATCTATCAATAATATACATCAATTTATTTTACACGCTTAGCGTGTGATATGGGACCTAAGATAACACTACATCAATTCACACATTTGCGGATTAAAAATTTAGTCGGTAAAAAGTTTATTTTTAGGTTCATGTATGCACATGTAAAGCAGAGCTCACAAGAAAGTGTTTAGGTGTGCAACGGTTGCACACTATATTTCGAGGGGAATATATATTTACGTAAATTTTAGGTGTGCAACGGTTGCACACTAAGTTATTTTATAAAATTACACAATATAAATATAAATTCCCGTAAATTAATCTATAAAAATTTAAGAAATTATAACTTGATATAAGTTCTTATAACCTTACATAAGTCACCTCATAAAATAGCGTACTTAAACACAAATTCATATAAGTTAATCCATAAAAATTTAAAAAATCGTAATTTGACATAAGTTCTCACAAATATATTTAAGTCACCTCACAAAACACAAATTAGCATAAGTTAATCATAAAATGTGTCGTAAATTCTCATAAAAGTGTGTAATTTAAGTCACAAAAATATATAAGTAAATGATATATCTTATGCATTACAGACTCAGAAATTATCCCTAAGGTATATTAAATGGACCCCTACCGGGTTCTAAACAAGGGCGGCCTATATATTAGGCAAATTAAGGAATGTCTTAAGGTTCCTTATTTTGAGAAGGCCCCTTAAGACCCTTCATAATGGCTTCATATTGATAAAAAAAAAATTCAAAAGCTATGGAGTACATAGTTTTTTTGGTTGAACCAAAAAAACTACGACTAATTGATACATTATTTTAAGGGCAAATTACTAACACTCCATCAAGGTTTGATTAAAATATGGGTTTTTTTCTGAGATTTGAGAAATTACATCTCGCCTCCTGAAATTTATATTTTCATAACAAATTGTCCCTCATTTGTTATGCAAATATAACTCTTAGGGGGTAATTTGTAATTTTTCAAATCTCGGGAGGGAATCTGTATTTTTAGTCGAACCTCGAGTGGGTGTTGGTAATTTGCCCTTTTTTTAATGATGAATGTAATAATCTTTTTTAATTAAATAATTATAAATTTATATTTCTAATTGATAGCCATTAGATATGTTATGGGAATCCTTCTTTAATCCAAACAAGAAACTCTCATTGTGAGGCACCAAATAACAAGTCTCATAGCAATATACCAAAGATCTAACATAAACAACTAAAGATTCTGAAAACAAAGCGAGAAATAGCGACAAGAACAATAATTAAATTCTCTAATTAGCTAAAAACAAGAAATAACTCTTAGTAGGACCTCTAGAAATCCTCCAAGGATCTATAAAAGACCACCAAAGCAAGAACTACAATTCCAAAAAATAAATAAATTGAACAAGCCAATGGCCTCTCTACAAAAACAAACCTCAAGAAACTATGAAATCCAATCAAATGAGTGACAGACTGCATATTTTTCTTTTAGCCGAAGAGTCCTTAAGCCTTCGTTTGAAATGTGGGTTGATTTTTTAGCTTTTTGTCTTTTTTACTATTTTAGCCTGGGCTAAAATGTCTCGTTTGGGATGGACTTTTTGGCTTTTATGAGAGAAAAAAATGAAATGATTATAGTTTGGATGTAATATTTTGTCTTATTGAGTTAAAAAGTCTATTTTGTCTTTTTTTTGACTAAATAACCCCAACCCAAACCCTAACCTTTATGCCAAACGAGCTAATTCAAGACAAAGTTGATTTTTTTACAATTCAATTTAAAACTAATAAGGAAACACCTAAAAAAAAGCTTTAGAAAGTTCAAAACAAGTCTAAGTAACTACAGGGTGGTTGGCCTAGTAGGTGACGATTGGAGCTTGCAGGTTTGCTTCCTCCCAAGTCTCAGGTTTGAATCCCCTAACCAGCAAACACATACCTTGGGGCTACGGACCGCAAGGCGTAAGCCCTATTTCGGAAGGCTTGTTCGGGGCTGTAGGGACTTAGTCTGGTGCACGTAAGCTGGCCTAAGATACCTTACATAACAAACAATAACAAAAACAACAACAACAACAAAAAAAGTCTAAGTTGACTATGGCCTATTTTGAAAAGTCACACTTTAGTCCAAAAAATCCTTATAAAAAACTCAACACTTTTCTTTAATTTTTTTACAAGTTTTTTTTCATAAAAAGTTATTTTTTTTAAAAAAAAGTCAAATTGCAAAACAATCCTAAATAAATTTTTCCACAAATCCATAAAATGTACTATGTCAAGACCAAATCAACTTGAGAGTAGACAATGAGCCCAAATCCAACGCAGCCTTCGTAAAAGAAAACCACTGAACTATAAACTTTCTTTGCTGAATAGTTAGAATTTTTGTTGATATATTCCATAGCATATTGTCATATTCGGCCTTAAATGTTATTCAAACTACCATTACTAAGATGATGAGTACTTGGTTTGTCAAACTTTTGGGTAAAAAAATACTTTAATAAGAATCTCCTTAGGATATAGAGCACACAATTACAAGAGGACTATTAATACAAAAGCCATATATAAGATGTAGTATTGAAAGGCTATAGTAATACCATTCATAAACAATTAATTCTACACTCATTGATAAGAATAATGAGATTAATCCTATTACATAGTCAAAAAAAATATTGCTAATTCATTATTTCATTCAGATTCAGAAATTATTTCTAACTCACTATTAAAAGTTCTTCCACCTATTGTTCCCCTTGTTGACATTGGATTTGTGGAAGCAAATGGACTGTGGGGAACTGTTAGAGTGTCTCCATCTCCTTCCAACATCTGCACCACAACTTTCATCGATGGTCGGTCCACTGGGTACCATTGTATGCACCAAAGTCCCACAATTGTTATTTTCCTTATAATTTTCGCATCTCCGTCTTCCTCAATTTGTATTCCTAGATCTTCTCCTTGATCCAAACGTTTATATATCCATTCCGGAAAGTAACACTCGTTGTTTTCTGTTACCATATTTTGCCTCCCTCCAACCATATCTAGCAACAACATCCCAAAACTATAAACATCTGATTTGTATGACACGTTCCCAAAGTTCCTGGAGAACACTTCGGGTGCAATGTAACCCACAGTCCCTCTAGCAGTAGTCATGGAAACAGCACTTTGTTCCTTTGAACACAATTTTGCTAGACCAAAATCAGAGATCTTCGGGATAAACTTATTATCTAACAAAACATTGTGAGGCTTAATATCAAAGTGCAGGATTCGTTGATCACACCCTAGGTGAAGATATTCAATTCCTTTAGCAATGCCAAGAGCAATGTCATGCAACTTCTCCCAACCAAGTGAATTCTTCTCTTTATTAGTGGATATAAACTTTTCAAGTGAATTGTTTGGCAAGAACTCATAAAGAAGAGCTCTTCTGAATCCGTCAGCACAATATCCCACCAAGCGAACCACATTGATATGGTGGATTCTCCCCATTGTTTGCACTTCATTGATAAACTCATCACCATTTCCTTTCACGTTGTTGAGGATCTTGACTGCAATGTGAACATCATTGACAATGTTAGTAAATTTCTACCTCCTCATTGACAATTCAAATTAAAAAGAGGAAGTATCAATTCACCTGCAATCTCTAGTTTCCTCAATACACCTGCAAAAGTTTAAAAACTTCTTAAACTATCACCTTTAAAATACATATACACACAAATATATATATATATATATATATAATTAAAAATTTTACCAAATAGATTCATAATATATGTATTTTTCAGTGCTAAGGAAAAGAAACTGACATGATAGAATCAGATATCCAAATAGGGTTAAACCTCCTCAGAAAACAAACAAACAAATAAATAAATAAAAACCATTAAATCAGTAAATAACAAAGGCCTAATCAGGTTCTCAACACATCCTCCATTAGGTTTACTACCTCTAACAAAAAGCACACAACCTAATCTATATAGCAAGACTTATCATCGTCGCACAATCAACAAGGCTAAGTAATCCTAATAGATCAAAACAAATAAAACAAGGGCATTGAAGCTAAAATGATCTTGTAGCCCAAAGACGTTGGATTGAATTTTTTTATTTGGGTATACTATTGAGTCGTAAATAGGTAAACAAAATCTAAGCCGTTAAGGAAAGAAAAATGCGGCGGACCCCCAGTCCCCCCGGACCCCCAATGACCCTCAGCCCACGTGGCTGTGGGTGATTGAAAAAAAAAAAAAAAAATTTATGGACCAATGAAAAAAAACTGGGGGTGCTGGGGGTGCCCCACCGGGGGTCCCTAGCACCGTTGTTAAGGAAAATACCGATGTTGCACACAACTGAAACTTAGATTGGATGTCCAGTTCAATTGTCTGAATTGGAGAGAAGAAGTTCGGCCCAAATTTCAATTCAAAATTGTGGCAGGAGATGACATCATTGTAAAGTGAACGCAATAATTACATATGAAACAAGATGGTAATCGTAACTTGAAGTAAAAGGGTAGAAACTGGCCAGAGTAGAAGCGTACCCATAGATGGTTGTTTGGGCTTGTCTAAGCATTCAGTTGTTCCATTTAATAATAATTTACTGTTGTTGCCACTGCTGTTGTTATTCTTGAATCTACAGTACTTGCCTTGTGCTTCACAGTTCCCACATTCCGGTTTGCTCCAATTCAATTGAAGATCATCAAATGTGATGGAGGCATAACCAAAAAATCCATATGGAAGTGTCATGTTATACATCTTTGTGCAAGATAAATCCGGGACTGACCCAGAGTCGGTGGCATAAACTTGGTGACTCTGGTCACTAAGGCAATCAATCCGAGACCCACCAAACTGAAATCGATCCAGTGTCTGGGAACAATTGATGAAGCTATAGTCGCTGTAGAAGCCGTGATTTGATAGGAATTGGAAGGGAGAGACAGATGGGTTGAGGTTTGGAAGCTGTCGTGGGAAGCATTCATGGGGGTCTGATATATATATGGTCATGGTCTGAGATTCGTAGTTGATTTTCTTGACAAACACATTCACAAAATTTGGGAGCTGGAGCATAGGGTATTTGCTGGGAGGAGTGCAAGAAAGATCAAAGCTCGGATGATACCCACCACAGTAGTCGGGCAGTTTCCCTTTTAGGCGGAAAGGGAATCGAATTTCAGGGCCGTGATGTTTTCTGCATCTTCTTGGCATGATGCACTCATCATGTTGTTCCTCTGCTCCTCCGAGTCCTACTACTGTGGCTGCTGCCATTGGTACTAATAATAGGACTATGACCAACAGAATTCCTTGGAAAATTGCCATCTTAATTAATTAATGGCTAATAGTTGATACTCTGAAACAAAATCCTAACTACTCTACTCTCCCAAGTGTGTGTTGTTTGTTTTGTGGTGGAAGAATTTGTTAATGGCGGTGTTGTTGTGTTAAGGAGACAAATTTTGTACCGAGGGCAAAAAAGAAAGAAAAAAAAGAAAAACTAATTTATTAATAATATTGTATTGGACAGCTCTTATATTTTATCATTTCTATCATTTTGGTTTCTATATTTTTAATTGGCTTAATTTTGACTTTTAATTTTAAATTTTGTTTCAATTTGGTCCAATTAATAACATCACTAGTGTTTCTTAAGAAAAATTATCACTAAATTGGTTGAGGTTAACTAATTGAATTGAGTAAGTTTATAATTTTACTTTTAAAAATATGGCACGTGACACTTATATGTGCGTATTTCAATAAAAAAAAATGTCAAGAATTGTAATCAATTGGACTAAATTGAGATAAAATCACAAATTTATGATCAAAATTAAGCCAATTAAAAATACATGGGCTAAAATGACATAAGGGGATAAAGTACAGGATTACCGTCATAATTTGCCTTATTATATATCTAGAAGTATTATCTAAAAAAATATATTTAAACACAACAAAAATAACGGAGAAATGACAACAAATTAAGGTTTTAGGGATAAATTTATGGACAAAATCACTCTTTGTGAACCAAATATTTTTGTTGCCAAAAGTGTATTATTCTAATTTTAGCAAAAAAGTTAGATATTTAGCAAAGAATTATTATCATTTTAGGACTAAAATTTTTGTCTCAAGGAAATCTTTTAGGGACCAAATTATTTTGTCCCTAAAAATGTATTTATTAGTGACATTTTGAAAATTGTTGCTAAAAGCCTTTTTTTTAATTTTTAATTTTATACTTTTCAAAATGACCTTTTAACAACTATCCTTTCGACAACCAAAATTGATTTTCAAATATTTTTTATAACAAAATTTTCACTTTTAAAAATAAAAATTTAGTACCTAAAACTCTTATTTTCTGTTAGATCTCATTAGATGGACGTACGGGGTACGTGGTCTTCCTACCTCTTACATCAAAAGTCATGGTTCCAATCTTTTTTTATTTTTTTAAAATTTGTTTTGCTTATAGTTTTTTTTTTATTATTTTAAAATTTGGTGTCAATTTTTTTTAGGGAAAAAGGAATAAAAATTTTTTAAAAAAAAACCCTTTAAAAAAAAAAAAAAAAAAAAAAAAAAAACGTGTTACTGTTTTTTAGTGGACTTTTTTGCGTGCTTTCTATTTTTTTTATTTAAAAAAAAAAAATTCTTTCCTAGCCTCTCTGGTCAACTAGAACTTAAAAGTGTAAAATCTTTTTGAAAAAAATTATATATATATATATATAATTCACTAGAAAAAAAGGCTATAGGCAAATTGAGCATAATTACACCAACATCCCTTTTACTAAGTGCACATGGACCAACACTAATGCATATCAAGTAAAATCAAGAAGATAAAAGGGGAATTTACATGTAGGTCGCCATAGGTATATTACCTAATAGGTTATGTGATAATTAGCGGTATTTTTTTATTAGACACTGATAAAAATGTCATTAATTGTTAATTTTCAGTGACAGTTTGAAAAATTCGTTACATAAAGCGTCACTAATTGTAAATTTTAGTAACAATTAAAAAAAAATTCACAGATTAAGGTAACTAATTGTCAATTTTTAATAATAGATTCAAAAAATGGTCACAAATTTTTTTTAGCGACAATTCTGATAAAATTAACTTTCAACGCTGAATTAATAAGACTTAATGAGCAAGTCTAACTATTACGACCTACTAATTTACCCAAGATGGATAAGGTAAACTATAGTCTTACATTTCAATGTAAAAAAAAATGATAATCTATAACATTATTTTTTCATTCATATGACATACGGATTTATAATAAAAATAGGTTAATAAAGCCTTAAAAAAACTCAATGTAATTATGTCAAATTTATAAAACTCATTATATATATTTTTGATGGGAATTTTTTTTAAGGTCCCTCATATTAGGATTTTATAGCATACAGGACTTGAAATATTTTCATAGTAGTTGGGGTCCTTCATATTAAGATTTTAGAGAAATTTCGAACTAGAGAAAATTCAATCTAGAGAAATTTTGAAACACAAAAGGAATTTGTTTGAAAATTCTTTAGTTTGCTCTCAAATTTCTCTGTGTTTTGACCAATTTTGTCTAATTTGCTCATAATTTTATTTATGTTTTGAACAAAACAAAAAAAATTACAGAGAAAATTGAGCTACTCACAAACCAGCTTTTCTATAATTTTTACAAGAAAACACCATGCTAAGTTCATCAAAGAACTTAAAATACAAAATCTAATTACAGTTTAAAAAATAGCAAACACTACTGGCCTGTTTGGTAACGTAAAAACCAAACCCTTTTTTTTAGTGGGCTTTTTCCATTTTTTTTTTTTTTTTTTTTTTAAAAAAAAAAAATTCTTTCCTAGCCTCTCTGGTCAACTAGAACTTAAAAGTGTAAAATCTTTTTGAAAAAAATTATATATATATATATATAATTCACTAGAAAAAAAGGCTATAGGCAAATTGAGCATAATTACACCAACATCCCTTTTACTAAGTGCACATGGACCAACACTAATGCATATCAAGTAAAATCAAGAAGATAAAAGGGGAATTTACATGTAGGTCGCCATAGGTATATTACCTAATAGGTTATGTGATAATTAGCGGTATTTTTTTATTAGACACTGATAAAAATGTCATTAATTGTTAATTTTCAGTGACAGTTTGAAAAATTCGTTACATAAAGCGTCACTAATTGTAAATTTTAGTAACAATTAAAAAAAAATTCACAGATTAAGGTAACTAATTGTCAATTTTTAATAATAGATTCAAAAAATGGTCACAAATTTTTTTTAGCGACAATTCTGATAAAATTAACTTTCAACGCTGAATTAATAAGACTTAATGAGCAAGTCTAACTATTACGACCTACTAATTTACCCAAGATGGATAAGGTAAACTATAGTCTTACATTTCAATGTAAAAAAAAATGATAATCTATAACATTATTTTTTCATTCATATGACTTACAAATTTATAATAAAAATAGGTTAATAAAGCCTTAAAAAAACTCAATGTAATTATGTCAAATTTATAAAACTCATTATATATATTTTTAAAGGGAATTTTTTTTTAAGGTCCCTCATATTAGGATTTTATAGCATACAGGACTTGAAATATTTTCATAGTAGTTGGGGTCCTTCATATTAAGATGTTAGAGAAATTTCGAATTAGAGAAAATTCAATCCAGAGAAATTTTGAAACACAAAAGGAATTTGTTTGAAAATTCTTTAGTTTGCTCTCAAATTTCTCTGTGTTTTGAGGAAGACGGTGTTGGAAAATGGTGGAAGGTGGTGGCTAGTGTTGGGTGGTAAAAAAAAAAAACTCAAAACTCAAAACGTAAACTCATTTTTTGAGTTTACAGTTTTTGGCCAAATTTATAAACTAAGACCATTGATTTATAAATCAAAAATTTACCAAACAAGTTTTTATTTGAGATTTTAAAATTTTTGTAAATATAAACAGAAAACTGAAAACGTAAATGTTACTAAACGGCACCTACACATCCCAAAAGATCAAAAATAAAATTCAAAGTTAGAAATCTAGTGAAAATCAAACAAGCAACATAAATTAGTGGGAGCTTAATGTGGGTAGGAAAAATTCAAATGCCAGAGAAAATTCAAGAGAAAATCAAAGAGACAACTAGCCAGATAAAATCAAGCAAGGCATAGAGAGAAAGAGAGTCCAATGTGTTTAGAGAAAATTAACCTAAAGGTGATATCTTAGTGCTATAGAAAATTCATCTCAAAGGAAAAATTACATACAAGAAGACAACTAATCAGTGAAAATTAAACAAGTAACCTAAATTAGAGAGTGTTTAATGTTTTTAGGGAAAATTCAAATGCCAAAGAAAATTCAGCTCAAGGAATAACTAACCAGTGAAAATCAAACAAACAACACAAATTAGTGAGAGTTTAATGTGGTCATGGAAAATTAAAATGCTAGAGAAAATTGGAGAGAAAATCAAAGAGACAACTAGCCATAGAAAATCAAGTAAGGCACATAGAGTAAAGTCCATCCAATGTGTTTAGAGAAAATTGTGATGCCAGAGAAAATTCATCTCAAGAGGAAAATTACACACAAGGAGACAACTAATTAGTGAAAATTAAACAAGCAACATAATTTGATGGGTTAGGGAAAATTCAAATGCTAAAGAAAATCAATCAAAAATTTGGCCCAAACTCAAAGAAATTTTGCCCAACTTAGAGAAATTCAGAGAAATTTCTTTGATTTTCTCTTTATTTTGGAAATTTCTCTAGTTTGAAGAAATTTCTTTGTGTATTATACAAAGAAAAAAGAAGAAAAAAATAGAATAGTTTCTTATCAACCCTTTAATTCTTCCCTATATAAGGGAAGTAATTCAACAAGTGATGCAAATATGTACCTTACAAATATATATATCGTCTACACAAAAAATAGAGACAGGGTTACCAATATATTTGTCATTCAACTCTATATTCATTTTTAAGTATAGTAGAGTCAAGAAAGAATAGACACCTAGACAGCTATGGAAACTTAAGGGTGTCGAATTATAGAAGAAGATGCAGATAACAAAGATATCATCCACTGCCATACCTAGTTTATGGCGATTCGGGTTTAAGACCCAACCCAATTAATATTCTGGATTTGGGTTTCGTGGTTCTATATTGTTGTTCATGTCTTATTACTCTTTTCCCTCATTGAGTTTGGCTATTGGTACGTGTTGGTTATGTTTGGAACAGGTTGGTGCCTTATTTTTCAAAAACCTTATTGCCCAGAATTTTGCTCTTATGCTCGAGCGTCACATCTTGTGTTTGAGCAGTCTTTGTGAACTCTCAGTACTTTTGCAGGCTTGCAAAACTATTGGGAGAGTATATTCTACGCTCAAACGGTGTTTCCTACGCTCGAGCGATCGTGCGCTCGAGCGGCCCTTCTTGCGCTCGAGCTATATAGTCTTATGTCTGTGAAACTATTGGGAGTGTATATTCTATGCTCGAGCATCACTTTTTACCCTCGAGCAATGCAACTTATTGTG